GAGGCAAATTTATTGCTCCAAATCCAAAGATATCCTAAATTTAAATAGAGCTTTTGAAAAGGTAAGACATCCTTATTTACAAGTCTCAGGAATCGAGCTCTAAAGCTCTTTCTCTTTAAGAATAACCGGAGATTTCGGAAGCAATTCAGTTGGATCTTAGCTTAAAACTAGAGCGAAATCAAGTTAAAATAACAAATTTATGTTTCAAAGGATATATGTACATATAAGCAAAGTCTCTGGAAATAATCCTCCTCCATTCATTCCTTCTTTTTGTTATTTGGTAGCAGTTGGAAATACCAAGTGGAGGTCTTTCGTTTACGGTATTCGCCGTTGCCAATGTGCAAAGGACCATATTTCGTTCGCAAAACCTTTCTCTCGAAGACTCCCAGGGCTGACTCATCAAATGTTGAGAAGGACGAGTACGATGAGCGACTTGTAGAGTTCGGTTTTCGTTCGCAGAGAGAGAGGGCTTTACTTTTCAATTGTCTACTCAGTCCAAAGTTGCCAAAAGTGTTTCTGAGTTAGATTTCCAGACAGATATTGTTGTTGGTGTTACGACAAGTTCCAAAATAGAAGGAATTATCTATGACTTCAACAGTGCTTTGGTTACCGAACCGTAGGTGTACTGATTGCTGACTGATGACAGCACGCTTTTCGTCTTGTCCTTGTTTACTACCAGCCTCATTCGCTTCGCTTCTCTATCAAGCCTGGAAAAAGCATAACAAACGGCGCTGTTGTTGATGACAGTAATGTCAATACCATCGGCGAACGCCACTAGTAGTACACTCCTATAGAAAATTGTATCTTCTCTATACAGCTCTGTCGTTCGTATTGTTTTCTCCACCATAAAATTAAAAAAGTCACACGCTAAGGAATCGCATTGTCTGAAACCTCATTCGGTAACGGCTTGGAGTGGTCCTTTTCGATTCTGACGTAGCTTTCGGTGTCACTCAAGGTCATTTTACATAGCCGTATAAGTTTTGCGAAGACACCAAATTCAGACATAGCGGCGTAGAGGCAACTCTTTCTCGTGGTGTTGAGGGCGGCTTTAAAATCGACGAAGATGTGGTGGGTGTCGATCGTCTTTTCAAAGGCCTTTTCCAAGATTTGGCGCTTGGTGAATATCTGATCCATGACCATGATCCATGACATCTGATCATTGACTTGCCAGGTCTAAAATCACTGATGAGCTCTAATCACACTTGCACACAATGCGTTTGGTAGGACTTTATATTAGAAATTAAGTAGGCTTATTCCGCTGCCAAATCAGGAATAAATACGACCGATATTGGTGAAATATGCTGACATGGAAGCTTCGCCTGTAACTGTTCTAATTTAAAATTTAACTTCAAACTCCCTCATCCTAAATTACTCAAATTTAGGATATGAAAAGGTGGACAAGCTTGCTCGAATGACGCTGTCAGGGCCTTCAAGTGACCCTAGAAGAACAGGGTCATTAAGAAAGTATTTATTAAATTATGTTTTTTATGACCTCTGAGATATGTCTTCACAAGCTTTGTAATTAGATTGCACTAAAGAGGACATATTGAAGGCACACGAACTTTTTGTGGGCTCCGTCTGAAGCCGATTGACATGTGATATCTAAAGGTATGGACACTCCAGCGGGAGTAAATCACCGTGAACACATAAATAGGGAAAAAAGAGAAAAATGTTTCCATTTTCTCTATGGGAAAAATCAAACAATCGGCCCACAATGTACATATGCAAGTGTAAAATATTAGATTGAAGAAGCGTCGCAAAAGCATTCAAAATATATGCATTGCGACCACAACGTCAACCTATAACTTAACCAAGTTAATAAATACATCAATAAAAAATTCTCAAAAAAATTTAAAAAAAAAATCCAAAATCAAATTTAAATCAGAGCATTAAAAGGAAATTTGTTTGCCTACAAAACAGATTTAACTAATCAAATTACGCTTGCGCAACCGCAGACTGCGGCAAGTGCACCACTTAATTGGACGCGGACAACGAGCGGATGGGATGTGTAACATAAAATATAAACACAAATACGCATAAAGCCGGCAGAAATTTAGCGAGCGTTGCATTGCGTTCGCCACAAAGCTGCGGTGACCGTTGATTAGGTTAACTACTTTCATGCGCTCGACAAGCTGTTTTGCTTTATTTTGGATTACTACTCTTAACGCGCTCTGCTATCACCACAATTGCTCTCTTTGCTTGCCTTGTGTTCGGTATCGAAAATTGTTGTTGCACGAAATATTGTTTAAAATTTATTGTCTTTTGCAATGGATTCTAGTGGTCGATGGTTAGCGGCAGCGTTGGTAAGATGGTTACAATGCGTGCTTCGAACATATAGTTTTATGCGTAACTCGATTTTGTCGGTTTTGTGGTTTTTAATTTTTAGAAGCAAAAAAAGCTTATTTATTAACTAAGCAGGCATAGTTGTTATTGGTTGTTACTTGTTGTGAAATGTATTTGATGCTTTATTTTTTGTTTTGGTTATTTTTGTTGTTGTCGCTTGATGTTCGGTGTCCGACAATATCATTTGTTGTGGTTAAGTTTATAACAAGATTCTTAGCATAGGCAATAAAGTTAATTAGGAAGTTGTTGTTTAGCTGGCGTACGTGCGTGTGAAGTGATCATTTTTATCATTTTTTTGACGTTCATACGACCTTTTTGCTATTTTCTTTATTTGTTTTCAAAGTGTGTTAATAAAGCACTCAACTTACCGACAGTTTGAAAGCTAATGTTACGCTCTGAAATAGCTGTTAGCAGACCAGCCTCTTGCTCGGTCACTCGCTAACTGAGCAGTAAACGCGCACAAATACAATTTACACAATTTACACTAACTTTGAAAACACAAATTGAACTTTGATATTTTAATAAAATTTCCCACCACCTTCTTACAAATTATAAGTTAAAATACACTTGCACTTTTAACAACTTCCTTTTGCCGACCAGGAGAAACGGAAACTGTCATTTGTGCAGTTATTTATGAAATGCAGGGTAACACGCATGAAGGGTATTTATTTCATTTAAAATTAAGTAGAATTTTTACATTTAAAAGATAAAGGTTGGTTGTATATTATTTAGTTTTAAATGTACATATTGCATTTCACCTACAGTAAAAGAACAATGCAATTGCATATTTTTATAAATTTATATATCTAATAAGGGGAACTTTATTTATAGAGTGCCTCAAGCTCATCTTTCGGTTTGATAAAAAGAAAATATTTCGAAATTTTGTAGCGTATATATTCAAAACGTTAACGCATATATATATATAAATATATATATATATTTATATGTTTATATTAATATATTTTAATAAAATATATAGTACGTATATATAACATAATAAAAATATACATAATTGGCACTATTAAGAGCATTTATTTCATGTCACACAGTGGGCTTGAAATTCCCTGTCTTCCGAATGACAGTGCACATTACCACCAATTCAAAGCCGCCTTCGAACAGCTGATGGGTTTTTAATAGCGGCTTGGTATTGGTAATTAATAAATTATATTAATAATTTATTTGAACACATAAATATATATTAAGACCAGAAAGTTTCCGGAAATTGTCATTTAAACTACCCATGGTGAATAATTTTCACCACTTTTATTCGCTGAAAATCAGCGCTATCTGTTAGCCAGTTAATTTGCTACCGCTATCGAAGTCAATCGATCTCAATTCCCTCTGCGAATGCTCTTTTATATCCTTAATCGCGTCTCGGAGTGGTGGCTTGAGTTTTGGAAACAAAAAAAGTCGCATGGGATTGGATTTGTGATGAATACGCTGGTTGATCGATAGCATTAGTGGTTTTTGGTATTAAAATCGTTCACTCAAAAACACCTCAAAACGCTTAAATAATACTCTTTATTGACCGTCTGTCTCATTGGAACGAATTCATGATGAACCAAATTGCGAATATCGAAAGAAAGTTACCAAATAGGGCTGGCTGACTACATTTTTTGTGTTATTCTGAAATCCGATTTGGAGAACAACCACAACAATTTGTTTTATCGAATCCGATTATTATACAAATTTGGTATTCTGTATTTTATTCAAACTGGAAACTACTTTGGAATAAATCGACAGACTTCGAGTTTTAATTATATAAAGCATAGAGATTTAAGATATGTGAGCATAAGGGTTCTTGATAAAGCATTCCATAACTTCTCCTGTCTTTTTTATAAATAAATTTAGGTCGTCAATATGCGTGGCTAGAATTAGTATTACGCCATTGAGACTAGAGACCAACCATGAAACAGACAAGCAGCTGGCAACAATTTTGAAAAGTCAGGCTTTAAACAAATATGAAATTAAATTTTTATTCTTATTTTATTGTTTCAATGTGCGGTTACAAAGCGCCATATGTATATTTATACATATTTACAAATATAAATACAGATTTTTGAAAAAGCGTCGCTAGCTCTATTAATGCGCTGCGTGAGCCATTTTTGCCAATTTTTTTTGAGAAATATTTCGATTTACAGCAGTGTTGATTACTGAGCTTAATTCACCTCACCTCACCTCACGTTGGATACGTTACGAATATCTTTTGAAATAGTATTAGGGTATTATGGAAAGTTTTACTCCCTCTCTCTTTCTTTATCAACCACTCACAAAGTCCTTAACCTAAAAACCTCACCCTTTTTTTGAGTTAGATTCCACTTTATTTATTACCAAAGAGAACTATAATAAAGCTTTTATTCATTATAGTTATTATATCTTTATTTGTTTTTTTTTCTCTAATTAACAAAGAAGATTGAAAGTATGAGCAGGATTTCCCAATTTCGGGTGCTGAGCATTGAAGAATTGGAATTCTAAATCGATGGAAAATCCATTCCGATCGGATCCCAGAATAGTTCCGATAAACATGTAAACAACCGCTTTATATCAAGTGTATATTAATAACTCTTGTTTGTATTTTTTCTAAATTAGTGGCACCCTGCATTTGGCAAATCAGTAAAAACGTCAGATTGTAAAATGACATTGACATTTCTGTTAATCCGTAATACAAATGCAAGCGGAAATCAAGTTTAAAATTAATTTATTTGCGATCTACTTTTATCAATTATACGGTTTTTTGTTCTTTTGAAGAAGTTTATTGTGTAATACGAAGATGTTGTGAAAAGTTTAGCCGCGCATTGTTTATGAAGAGTGAAGTTTTTATATGTACGTATGTAATTCGAGTGTTGCAGGTAATTGGAGTGAGCGCGTCGGTGATGTGAAAGCAAAATTATAATATAAATTTAAACGAATTTCAAATAAAGTTATTCAATATGAAAAATATATGTATGTACATACCAAATAACCTTGCAATGATGCTGTCGTCAGCTCAAATATGCCTCAACAATGATTTTGGTTTGTATATACATTCATTTTAATTTTTATAATATATTTTATAATATGAATATATATATATATATATATTATGTAAATATTTATTCTGCGCAATGATTTGGCAGTCATGATGTGGTGGACGAGTAATGTGTGTTTGTATGTGATACTGCTGAGCACAAGGCAAAGTAAAATGCATAAGATGCGAAATCAAAAGAATTGCTTTGATTTGCATTTGCTCACAATTACTTTACGATTACATCTACATTTGTTGTTGTTATCAATAAACATAAATTGATTATTGGTGGTAAACATATCACTTCTTGACCAAATTTATTTCTCAAAATTGCGTATTTGTTGGTTCAATTTTGTGTGTTGCCGAAGAATTTAAAACGAGTTTTCATAATTTTATTTATAAAACAAAGCAAAACTTTCACCTAGCGACGTTGTACGCTAGATTTGGCCGCCACGTAGAAACGAGCTCCAGTGAATAAAATAGCAACGCCTCGGATTAGATACCCCCTTTCCGTTGACGAGCCCCGCAAAGGAACTAAGGACCACGATTTAAGGGCATGTCCTAATTGGGGAGGTGCCGCTGTGCAGCTGGTTGATGTCCTCGTAAGAATAAAGGCTGACATCAGCGCCGCGCAAGAAGTGTGATAGACGGGACAAGGACGATAACGAGTTGGTTCTTCTGACATTTATCACAGCAGCCATATAAAGATCACAGATTTGTGGTGGGAGGCAGATTCCGTCATCGAGTAATTTTATATAGTACTTTACTATTTCTTTTTCTTAGTGACTCAATAGCAAAAAATATTTAATAATGATGCTGAAGCATGTTCCGTGAAGTCAGTAGTCAGTCAGTAGAAGACGAGTGGTGGGTAATGTTTGCGGGAGTATTTCTGGCATCATATAAAATATCTTCACTCTTAAGCCATTCCTAGGCAGCTAACAATAAAATTTAGGTTCCTCTAGTTGCTGGTAAAACATCTACTCACGCAAAGAGCGGTAGGAAACCTCAATAATAAATGTAAAAGGTGACTGATAAGACAGAATCTCTGGGAGAGTGGGGTCAGTAAACTTCATCCCTAATGGATGTTTGAAAATTTAGTAGTTGGAACTTGGAAATATTTTACCTTTTTTTTTTTTTGAGGGGACACAAAGATTTCACGATGATCTTGCACAAGTAATCAGCTTCGTTGAGGCTTATAGCGAGGTCTTCCTTTTTTACTTTACCAACCCTTACGTACGTTAAACATTGGGTTAATAATAGATCGTGCCAAATAGGAGACTTACTTTTGGACCCATGGTTTTCACGTGAGGATCAAAGCTCTCTATCTCTCAGTCACTAGTTTTCAACTATCAATCTGCAAAATTTGTAATCATCTTAGTTTTGGGATTGCTTCAAGAGCTTGATCTAGTACTTTATTACTTACTCGTCGACTGCTTAAAAATCAAACTGAAAAAGATTTTTTCCGTTATCTCTAACCTTGTCCCAGCGGAAAAGGTAAGGTTAGGTTGTGGTGTACGATGGGCTCACCTAAGCCTGACTAAGGCTTATTGTGATACCACAAAAAAGTTGGTCAGCAGGCTTTATTATTCAGCCATTTCGTCAGATCCATGACTTAGACGTCTTCGTCAAATCATGCAGTAATAGGATCTCGTAAAGAGATGGAGTCCCTTCTCACAATTCTTGCAGCACCTTAAAGAGCAACTCTAGTCTTTCCGCATGTCGTTCTAACAGACTGTGACCTGTCAGAACTCCTATTATTCTCTTTAAGGAGTACATATCTCATGATCTCTTCTGATCCCATTTCAGCCAAGTGTTCCTGTTTTTGTGGCAGGTTCTAGTCTCCTTCTACCTTGATGCAGCTTGTTTATAGGTAAATACTTTGAAAGGAAGTTTGCAAGCGACAAAAGGAATAAGTGTGTGTTCTGTATCATTTAGCAAGTTCATCCGCCATACAGTTTTCCTCGATGTCCCAGTGACCAAGGACCAATCTGAGAGACAGTCTATTCTGTTTGACCATCTCCTGTAGGGTTTGGCGGCAATCCAGCGCTATTTTGGAACTTAGTGTAAGCGAGGTCTGTGCTTTTTTTTTCTGCCTAACGGAAAGTATAGATACTAATTTATTTTATTTATCTAATTAAAACTGGCTGGGATTTGCTATGCTGCCTCCATGATAGCAGATATTTCCGCTTGAAGAACACGGCAAGCCTTGAGTCATTCGTGTATATTTTCAGGCTGTCACCTGGAGTGTGATAACATGGATCTTACCTATTGAGAATTCCTGTTCTTAAGTTTTTTACCAGATACTGCAATAAGACTGGAACGATCTGTATATCTTGATAGGAAATCGTATTTTTCCCAAACGAAGTGCATTTATTGCTGCCTCGCTCCACAGTGAACCACTGATACAAATTAACGCATAACTTTGAATCCATCCAAAATGAAATAAAATTAGCTTAAATTAAAAAATGAAATAAATTAAAATAAAAATCTCTCTCTTTGATCTCTGGCAAATATCGTACTAACTTTCGTTGGAAAAAATGCACTTGCCAAATTTTTTGACATAATCATTTTGTAGTTAATTTGTCACAGAAGTTGACAGCAGCTTATAGCTATATTCTTCGCAAATAAAGGGTGATTTTTCAAGAGCTATGGGAAAGTTTTCCAAAAAAAAAAAAAAAAAAATACACAAAATACATAATTAATGCATGAAATCTTTATTTGAATCAATAGTACGGTCCATATTATTTAATGCAAATGTTGACCGTGACTGCGACTCAAATGGTCCATCCACTTAGTCCAATTTTGGCATACCCTTTCCAACATTTCGGCCGGCGTCTCACGAATAATATATATAATACTTCAATGTTGTCCTCTAATTTGTCAATTGAAGCGGACTTTCTGTGTAGACATAAGATTTAACATAGACCCATAAAAAATAGTCTAAAGGCGTTAAAACGCATTATCTGGGCGTCCGATTGACCGGTCCTGAACGTGAAATATTGAAAATGTTCACCGAACTCACCTCTCAATAAATCCATTGTTACGCGTGTTGTGTGGCATGTGGCACCGTCTTGTTGAAACAACATGTAATGAAAGTCAAGTTCTTGCATTTTGAGCATAAAAAAGTTTGATCTCATCTCACGGTAGCGCTCATCATTCACAGTTACGTTATTATTCGCATCATCTTAGAAGAAGTACGGTCCAATGATGCCACCCGCGCATAAAACGCACCAAACTGTGACTTTTTCTGGATGCATTGGTAGCTCTTGCAATGCTACTGCCTGATATTTACCACAAAATGGACAATTTTGCTTATTTACGCACCCGTCAAGGCAAAAATGAGCTTCGTAGCTGAATAAAATTTTTGATTTTTTTTTAACTTTCTTGACAGATCACGCATTTTGATAATAAAATTCAATAATTTGAAAGCATTGTACGTTTGTGATACACAAAACGCGTGTCAGCTATTTAAAAGAGTGTTGCCAAAAATTTAATAGCTAAAAAAATCACCCTTTATGAGTGTTTTGATTGCTTTTAGTGAGAAAAAAAAACTGAAAAAAGTAGAGAAATGGAAAAATAATCTCAGCATAAATGGCAACACCCGCGCAATATACTTTACATACGCACACACATACTCGTACATATTTTTATGATCATATTTTTTGACACGCCATACAGCTGTCACATGACTGATGCAGTATTTAAATCCCATTTTTCCGTTTCAATGCCTCAAATGCCCCAACGCATGCAGTTACATATATACGAGGGCATACGAGTATGTAGCTACATACATACGTGTATGCATTGATGGCGAGCGGTGTTGCAAGCAAATACTTTTATTTTCAATGCAGTTTATAGCAATGCAAATGTGGTTTTATATGTATTCATGCCAAATGTGCATCACTATTTCTGTACGCCTCATTTGCCTAGTAATTTGCGCCATTAAAAAATTACGAGCTCAGCAGGCAACCAATGATGCAGCAACGGTAATTAATAAATACAAAATGTTTTTATTTATTTTTGTTTTTTTGTTTTTTTTTTTTCATAAATTTAAAGCATTGCTGCTGAACGATTGAATGTCGGTTGGATCCTTTATAGACATGTTTAAATGCAAACACTTCATATTTATTATGTTGGTGCAGATGCTCGTGTGTAAATTTTTCAACACTTGAATGGCTATCCGCCAACGCAAATCGCCTTCTGCGTATAATCAAGTCAATCATCAAGCATTAATATCTTATTCCCTATCCAACACTGCCTAACTCGGCCGTGTTGCACTCAGTTGGTCAAGCGTCATTCATTCCTATCGTGTTCTGCCCTCAATGTGCTTGCTTTATTATGTATGTAGCTATGTGCATCTACGCAAGCAATGTGCAACAAAGTTTTAGCTTCGTCATTACCATAATCATCTACACCTTCTACACAGTGACTGCGCCTCAACAGTTGTCTGCTGTTTAAATTCAAATAAATATGTCTATGCGTTGTTATCTGTCTTCCCTATGTATGTACGAGTATTATGAAATAACGTTTATTGTTGTTGTGATTTCATAATTAATGCCATTTTCAGAAAATGTAATAAATCAATTAGGCAAAAGTTCATGGTTATTTAAAGTGGATGAAGATAAATGTGTAGCGAATTCTTGCTTTACCACCGCCAATTCATGGAGGCACGTCTGCCACTGCTTGTAATTATATTTACGTATATATTCCAGACTGCGGTGCATATATTTAATAGACGCGCTGTTGGCTAGAGTTTTTAATACAGCAAATATTGTGGTGCATAATTTTAGAAAATCTCATTGAACACTTTGAATTGCGTGGGCTGATTTCTTTGCCACTGTGTTGGTTGGAGAAAATTTTTGTTGCTTTCCAATTTATCCACATTTTTGAAATATTGTGGCGGTATTAAAATATTTTCCAATACCTAATTAATGCAGTTCTTAGCGTTTCAGAATGTTTTTTTTTTGTTGTTTATATTGACATTTTTTAATAGATGAAAAATTAAATG